GTGCCTCGCGGCCCGCGGCGGGTCCAATGGGGCATTCTAAACGCCTCGCGCAACCCCGCCAGCCCATCCAGAAACGATGCCCAGAGGGAGCGCCTCGATCAGGGAAGTGGGCGCCACGCAGAGTTGGGCGCTCCAACGCGTCGCGGAACCCCCCGCCCAGGTCCAGGGGGAGGGGCGGAGCGCGCCCCCCCCCCCCCCCCAAGGGGAAGTAGGAGGGGCAACGGAGAAAACACTCTGGACCACCTACGCCCAACGGGCTGGTGGGATTCAGGTGCCACCTCGCAGGGCGTGCCGAAGCCGATGAAGATCCGCGCGTCCGCGCCCTCGGCAGCTGCGCCCTTGCACTGGGCCACCTCGCGGAGAAGCGCTTTGCGGCCCTCCTCTCCGGCCGCAAAGCCAAAGCAGCCAAGGCGGGGTCCCAGCGAGCAGCAGTCATGGAATGGGCATGCCATACCATTGAGGCCTTCAAGCGCCGCGCTCTCAAACCGAGTGCGGCGTCGGCCTTCGACCGCGCGCTCCTGCTGAAGGACTTCGGCCTGGATCTCGTTTTCGGAGAAATTGCCCTCTTGACCAGGGCCGCGAGCTCGGGCCACTCGAACGACCGCAAGCGCGCCGGCACAACTTTGTCGCGGCCAGCTTCGAAGGCGCCGCGCCTGGGCGACTCGGCGGGCACAGCCTCGTTCGCTGGCCATTCACAGAGCGGCGCCCCCAGGCCTGAGCTCCGCGGCGGCCCCCAGCAGAGGGCGAACCGCCGGTCGCCGCAGCCGTTCGCCGCGCCGCCTGCCCCACCGCCAGCGGCCCCGGGGGCGCCGCCAGCCCCGGGCCGCAAGGAGTTGGCGAAACAGATCAGGGGCAATCTCACAGCCTTCGCGCCAGGCAAGAGCGCGCAGAGCCTGTAGAACTGTTTTGGCGAGCGTTTCAAAAAAAGAAATCTTAGAACAGGCCGCCCCCCAGGTCAGCCGCGACGCGCGCAGACATGTCCCTGCAGCGGGAGAGGCATCGCAGAGCGCAACTTTAAGCGGCGCCGTGCCGCAGGCAATGCGCGCGCCATCGCCCGCCCCCGCTGCGCGGCTGCGAGCAAGGCCACTGGCGACTGCGCCCGCTGGGCGCGCGACTGCAGACGCAGCTAGCCCCCTTTCGGCAGCCCGGGCCGGGATGGCATGACATGAGTTTGCATGCGCATTAAGATATTCACCCGTATATGCACTCCTGGAAAACAGCTTTGCCATCCCGGACCCCCGCGCGCCCGCCCGGCACCCAGGGCCCAGGGCCATCTGCCAATTTGAATCGTTCGCAGCAGGTGGCCCCCAACTACAGGGCCAGGGGCGCGCGTGCGTTGTCACGCCCGCGCAGTCCGCGCATGTTCTCACAGCAGGCGCGCCCGCGGCATCCGCGGGGCTCGATGAAAAAGACGGGGCTACTGTCAGTTACCATATCAGCATCAGAAACAACACGCACGACGCACACACACCATATGCTTATGCGCTTATGCAGCACAGCGGCAGCAAATAATACGTGCAAGCATGAGCGCGCATGTTCTCCCAAGCAGTGACAGGCTTCATGCCTATTTTGATTCACGGAGAAATTAGATCGCACCCAGTGCGCATCGCCACGCATGCTGCAAAACAAAGATGCAGCCACGCAATGTTGGAGCGCGGCCATACTTCAGCCGCACATTGGACTTGTTCCGCAAGAACTCGCGAAGATGGGTGGTCTGGGCCACAGGATCCCGGTTCAGATGATTCATTCGGCGCGCGCCCCCCCCGCTGCCTTCCTCGGACCATTCAGCTGTTCCCCCCGCGCTGCCCCCCCCCAGCCCCTTCTCTTCCACCCTGCTTCATCTGCCCCCCCCCCCCCCCCATCCGCCCCCCCCCTGGCGCCCTCGCTTCGCTCGGAGGGCGCGCGGAAGGGCAGGGGGGGAAGGGAGGAGCGCCGGCGGTCGCCCTGGGGGGCGCCCCTAGAAATGGCGCGGCGGCGGCGCCGGAGCGCCAGAATTCACGCGGAGCCCTCGCGACGGGAGGTCGGAATCGAGGATTGGCCCCTGCTCCGGGGGTCGGAGAGACAGCGTCGGGCGTCGGAGCAAGCAGAGTTCACGTTGCGTTGCCCCGGGGCAAAATCCCAGGCTTTGCCGCAGCGGAAACCCGCGTGAGAGAATTCGCGGGACTTGTCGCGGCAGCAGGTGTTCCGGACTGGAATGTCTACGCTCGCGGTGCAGGGAGGCAGGCTCAGAAGCAGGGGGCTCTGAGTGGAATCAAGAGGGGGGGAATTTTCTTCCGTCGCACATCGGCCCAGGTGTCGGGTCGCCATGGATTGGCTACTCGCCCCGACGCAGAAACGCCCGAGAATCGGCCCAGCCTCTCCATCGAGACGATTTCTCTGATGTTACCCCAAGCGAGGCTGACCGTGGCGCCATGCTGACTGCCGCGAGCATGGGCGCCAATTCCCACGTTGAGGCGGCGTCTCCTACCCGCGCGAGGAGCTCGATCGAACCAGTTTCGGAAACTTCGTTCTCGTCTGACCCTCGCGGGGGCGCCGGGCACGCCGCGACGAGGCCTGCAGCCGTCGTCCCGAGGGTCGGCGCAGCACAACTTGCGTTGCCCCTTCGCGGACCACCTGCGGCCGCGGCGCAACGTTCCGTGGCTCCACCACGACATCCAACTGATGTCGCGCCTGCTCGGCGCGCGGCGCACAACAGGCGGCGGCTGCCGCTCGCGGTCGCTCGCCGCTGGCTTCAGACCAGCCGGGTTCCAGGCGCCCTGCGGGGCTCGAGGTGGCCATGGACGTTCTGGCAGTCGAAGACTCGACAGCATGACATTTGGCGTTTCAAGCACGAACACCTGCAACCGTCAATCCGCGCATGCGCGCGGCGTGGGAAGAGCCCACGCGCGCGCTACGACGCCGCGCTTCGTTATTTGGCCAACCCCGTTGAGATAGCAGCGGGGTTGCCGTTGCTGCCGCGCGACTCGGACGCGAAACTGACGCGTCTCTTCGCTTCGCTCGACGGCAAACCGTGGGGCGCGACGCCCACTGCCCGCGCAGCTGTGCGGGCGTGGCACCAGGAACGTGATCTGGTCGACCCAGTCGAAGCCGCGTGGACCGAACTGGCCGCGCGCTTCTGGAAAAGCTAGGAAAAACGGGCCGGCCACGCCCTGTCCAGGGCGAAAGAGCCGTGGTCTTTAACGCTGTTGTTGGAGCGCGCGCGCGCCCGCTGCGTCGCCAACTCCCCCGCGGGCGTTCGGGGCGCAGCAGCCGCTGCGCGTTGCTTCTTCGGCGCGCGTCGATCCGCCGAGATGCGGGCCCCGAGGGCGGGTGATCTCACGATCGACCAAGGGCGCGCCACAGCGTAGATCAGTAAACAACAGAACGACCCGCATGGGGCCGGCATGCGCTGCATCATTCCTCGGTTCCCTCTCCTGGCTGACGCCTGCCCTGTGCAGCTTCTGCAGGATTGGCTCGCCTTTCGAGCAAAGCTTTGGCCGGGTCACCCTGGTGGCCCAATGTTTCCCGCCACGCGCAAAGGGGCGCCAATTTCGATCTCCGCCGACACAACGCGGAAGTCGTTGGCATCAATATTTCCTGGGGGTCAACTGGCACCCACTCGCTTCGGAATGGCGGGGCCCACTGGTGGGGAGCTGGCGACCACGTCCAGGGCGAAATAATCCTAGCTCACGGCGGTCGGTCAAGCCCAGGGCGCTCCGTTTACGCGCGGGCCCCCCCCAGCCAGAAGGCGACTTTCTAAAGGGGCTTGCTTTCGGGAAAGAGGCTTCAAGCGAAGGGCCAGCAGCGACATATTCTGTATACTTGCATCTTATGTTCGGACGTTGGCGCAGGCGCCGCGGCGGCCCCGCGGTCGGGGATTCGCCGCCCCTGCGCCCTGCCGAGGTAAAACAGGGGTCGGGGGTCAGCGGGCCCCGCGCATGAGGAAAACCCGCCCACCTTAAAACCCCTTGCGCCAGTTGCTACCCCCCCCCCATCGGGGGGGGGGGGGGGCGGCGTTGCCAAGCGGCATACCGCCAGCAGGCCTGCCATTCCCCCGGCGCTCCCTTTGCGGCATGTGTTGCCCGCCCCTGCCTTCGCGGAGTGCGCGGAAGATGTGAAGCCCCGCGATCTCTCATTTCCGACGTCCCCTCCTAGTTCTCGGTGCCACCGTTGCCTTCGCATTCTGCTCTCTCCTTCGCCCCCGCGCCCTGTCCTCGCTCCGCGGCGGAGCGAGGGCAGGATGAGAGGAGAAGGCGGAGCTTCCACCCCCCCCCCTCTCCACCTGCCCCCTCCCGGGTGCGAGGGGCGGGGGGGGGGGGGCGATGGCCCGCCGGGGCGGGCGCGGGGGCCCTCCAGCCAGAATTTTCCAGCGGCTCGCGCTTCAACCAGACGCCCCCTGAGCAGCTGATCTGCTGAGAGGACCTCGGGGGAAGTCAAAAACACGCTCCTTGACAGGTGCGCGGCATCACCTGGGGCAGCGCCGAGCACTACCCGCTGGGCTGCGCCCCCCTCAAAAGAGGGGAGTCCACTGAGGCCACTCCCTGGGAGCGGAGGCATGCGGCGTCGCCTCGAGCGGCGCCCAGCATCGCCCTCCAGGCCGCGCCCCCCGCAAAAGCGGGGAGGCCACCGAAGCCGCCCCCTTTAGATACCCACTGCTTTTCCACGCCTCTGGGCAAGTAAGAGAAGTGAGCTCTACACGGCAAGAATCAGAGGGCATGTTGGGAGCGGAGGTATGCGGCGTCACCTGGGGCGGCGCTCAGCGCCACCCTCCAGGCCGCGCCCCCCGCAGAAGCGGGGAGGCCACCGAAGCCGCCCCCTTTAGATACCCACTGCTTTTCCACGTCTCTGGGCAAGCAAGAGAAGTGAGCTCTACACGGCAAGAATCAGAAGGCATGTTGACCTGGACCGTTATCCCTGATCCACACATTCGCCACCGCGTGGCGGGCCTTCCACCAGGCCGCACGGGTGACGGGCACATCCCGGTGAGTCTTAGCTGGGACTCGTCGAGCACTACGTTGTAATTATCGCTGTGGTGTCCGCGCGCCGCAGTCCTTTTCGCAGGCCTCCGTCACCTTGGGGTCGTTCCAATACTTCTTCATCAGCTGGTTGTAGTCAGGCTCGGCGTTCGCATCGGCGATGGGACCCTCGGGACCTGCTGCGCAAGAGACTCCGACGGTCATCGCGGCCACCTGCTTGTCCTCCAGCTGGTTGGCGGCTCTGCTCTCGGCAGCGGCCTGCGGCTCCATGACACTCGAGGGCGCCCAGCCCTGCTCCACGAACACGACAGTGCCACAAATACATCGCCGGCCTGCAGCCCCTGATACCTCCCAGCGCCCTGGGGGGCAACGAGGAACCACACCCAGCACGCAAGGCTCCCAAAATCCAGCAGACGGGATGAACTCCGCGGCGGACGCATTGAGCTCCTTCCGACTGTCGGCGCCTCTGGCCAGCACGGCCTCCAGGGCCTCCAGGCGCCAAGTGGTGGCACCGAATGGGCCATGCGGGAGCTCCAAGTGCCAGCCCGCTTTATCCAGGAGCGCCCTCACAACTGGGATGAGTGGTCCGGCCTCGGCACTGCTGGGAGCCCCCCGCAGCCTGGGGCCCTTTTGCGCGCTGCGGCACTCCCGAGGCGGCGCTCCAGCTGAAGGACACCGCTGCGCATGGAGGGCCACGTTGCGTCTCAGCCTGTCCTCGGACTCCTCCTGGCCAGCAGCGCGGGCACGCAGGGCGGGCCTGGCCAAGGCCTCGCGACGAGCGACCTCCGAGTCCAAGGTCACCCCGCCGGCTGGACCAATCAGTGCCCGCAGTCGTTCCAGCTCTGCCAGGAGCTTGGTGATAATGAAAGGGAATTGGGACACACAAATAAATACACACAAATACAAATATCCCCCATATTTTCCCATATTTTCTGGGTTTTTGTCTTCCCCCCCACTTCCCATATTTTCCTATATTTTCCTGGGAGTGGACGATTAATTGTGTCTGTGTGTTTTTTCCCCTCCTGAGATAAGCGCTTCAGCCGAGGCCCGTGCGCCCGCAGCGCCCCGTCGTCGGCCGACGCCTCTCGCGGCACGAGCCTCCGCAGCGGCGGCAGCGTCCCGTGCCATCCCAAGTCGCGCGTGGAAGCGAAGGGCCGCCAGTAGGCTTTCGCCAGAGGCAGACACCCTTGAGCACGCGCGCGCGGCCTTGAGCCAAAATGGCTACGGAACCAGCCGGAATCCTCCTTTTCCTCCTCCTCCTCCTCCTCCTCCTCCTCCTCCTCCTCCTCGTCCTCGTCCTCCTCCTCCTCTCCAGCTCCTCCGCGCCGATGCATTCCGAAAACAGTCTTTGCGTCGCTGCGTCGTCGACTTCTTCCGGGCGGCTTCCTGGAAACAGCGTCTTCTGGACCACTTCTTCCGAAGGCGAGTTCTTCCGCGACGATTTCTTCGGGACCACTTCTTCCAGACGACTGCTTCTGGAAGAAAATTCTTCTGGACGAAATCGTCGTGGAAGAAATCGTCGCGGAAAAAATCGTCGTCTTTCGGTTTTTCTTCGTGTAATTGCAATTCCGGTGAGTGGAATGGGGCGGGTCTGGGTCCGTCGGCACACATCACCACGCCAGGATCCAGTAAACCAAGTCCCGCCAACGCACGAGGGACGCGTTGCCCGTTATCCGCGTCATTGTCCCGCTCTTCCCCGCACCCCTCGTCCTCCTCCACTGCAGCCTTCGGCGGAGCTCCGTACGGGGCCTCGAAACGTGTGAAGGGTGTGCCGACATGAGTGCGGCGGCGCCATGCGAACCCTGCCACAAGGGCCTTCGGTGAAACTCCCAGTGAGGCCACGGAACGTGTGATGGGTGTGCCGACATGAGTACGGTGGCGTCATGCGAACCCCACTAACGGGGCCTTGCGTGGAGCCCTCCATGGGGCCACGAACCGTGTGAGAGGTGTGCCGACATGGGTGCGGTCAGGCACGTGCGAACCCTGCCGCTGTCGCCTTCGGTAGAGCTGCCTACAGAGCCCCGAAGCGTGTGAGGGGTGTACCGAAACGAGCGCGGTGGGGCCATGCGAACCCTGCCACTGCGGCCTTCGGCGAAGCTCCCTACGAGGGCACGAACATGTGAGGGGTGTGCTGGAATAAGTGCGGTCGGCGGTAGCTCCATGCAAGCCCTGCCACGAAGGCCTTCGGTAAAGCTCCAAATGGGGCCACGAAGTGTGAGAGAGGTGCGCCGAAATGACTGCAATTGCGCCGTGCGAACTTTCTTCAATCGACTTCTTCCAGTCGACTCCTTCCCAACGACTTCTTCCGAACAACTTCTTCCGAACAACTTCTTCCGGGCGACTTCTTCCAGACGACTTCTTCCGGACGATTTCTTCCAGACGACTTTTTCGACCTCTTTCGAACGAATTCTTCCAAACGACTTCTTTTCGACGACTTCTTCCGAGACGACCTCTTCCGGACGAGTTCTTCGGGACCACTTCTTCCGAACCACTTCTTCCGAACGCCTTCTTCAGAACACCTTATTTGTCATCGCTATCCTATCCCTTCTCCTCCGTCTCCGCCGCGCCGATCTCTCGAGAGAAAATTATGTCTCGACGACTCTTTCCGGACGACTTGTTCCCAACCACTTCTTCTGGACGACTTCTTCCGCGACGACTTCTTCTGGGCCACTTCTTCCAGACCAATTCTTCCGGACGACTTCGTCTGGAAGAAAATGATTCCGGAAGAAGTCGTCGCGGAAGAAGTCGTCGTCTTCCAGGGTGCCCTGGAAGGCTACCCAACCTTACCATCGATTTCGACTGTAAGGCTTTGCGGTGCCCTCCGATCCTGGGCGTGGCAAATTTTTCACACCGGGCGTTTTCGCCTGGCTTCGGGGCCCGCAACCATCACATATCGAGCTGGGTCGATAGGGTTCCGGCGTAAGTTTTGGATCTTGCACATATTTGTCTACAACGTCGGATCCCAGGGTGCGCACAGGCAGCCGCCCCAGGTAGTCCGAGCTGGCCTCAACAGCTCCTCCCGAGCAGTCCAGGGCGGTCTCCATACCCCAACCCTGGGGCGCGGACCGCTTCAGGGGCGCTACCCGAGGCGGCGCCAGGGTGCTGAGGTCGCCACGGATTACTCGGGGGGCCTGCCGAGGCCAGCTGGGACTACCTGGGGGGGCTGTCTGTGCGCAGCCCGACGCCTTACCATCCTCGATGCGCTGCCGCACGAACTCCAGCCGGCTCGCCACGGCGACCTGAGAGCTGTACTTCAAGGCGACGCGCACTCAACAGCGCAATGTTTTTTTTCGCAGTGTCAACAACGCAGTGGCAGCGACGCAGTGCCAACAGACCAGCACAAACACGAGTCGTGTCAGCAACACAGTGCTAACAGCGCAGTGCCAACAGGAGTCGTGTCAGCAACACAGTGTCAACAATGCAGTGTCAACAAGAATCGTGCCAACAATCCAGTGTCAACAGCGCAGAGTCAATGACGCGGTGTCAGCAACGCAGCCACCTCGGCATAAGCATAAACTCCCAGAGCTCCGCGCGTATCTCTCGTACCGGCACTGACCCCCCTCCCTGGCGCGTAGAGCGCGCCCCGGCACCGATCCAAGACATCCGCGCGGACCTCCGAAAATCGATGCTCATGCCGCTTTGCTCTTCCTCGAGACCTGCTCTGGCTTCGCCTTCAGGCGGCGACATCCGAACGCTGCCCCCACCAACCATCGACTCTCCCGAATCGATGGGAGGCGGGGGCAGGCTTCGGACCTCGCCGCCGAGCCTTGTCGAGCCGCGCCCGCGCCCCAGACTCGGCCTTCTCCGCCTGCGCCGTCGCCAGGTGCGCCCGCGCGCGCTCGGCGTCGGCGGCCTCCAAGCCAGCGCGCTCGGCCTCCGCGGCGGCACGGTGTGCGTCCAGGTCGGCGCGGGCGCCAGCGCGGTTGCGAACCACCTCCTCCAGGTGCTGCGAGATGCCGTGGAGCCTGGCGCGATGAGGATGCAGGCCCCTCGGACGCCCATGTCGAATCGAGCGGGGCTGGACATCGGAAGTGGCGAAGGATGGGCCGAAGAGGCAAGGATGCAAGGGCATCCTTGGCTTACCCAACCTTACCTTCGATCTCGACTGTAAGACTTTGCGGTGCCATCGGATCCCGGGCGTGGCACACTTTTCACACTGGGCGTGTTCGCCCGACTCGGGCCCCGGGACCACCACAGGTCGACCCGGCTCGAAAAGTGCCGCAGACGGGAACATGGGATCCAGGGCTCTGGTCGTGCTCTTCCACGATGCTGCATTCTCTTTTCTTGACGTCGGATCTCGGGGGAGCCTGAAGAGGTAGAACTCGCGCTGGAGGCCGCACCTCTCCCCCTCCAGGCGCCTGTACTCGTCGGCCTCGTCCTTCTGCTGCTGCACCCGCTTCTTCTCGTTGATGGCGTTGCGCTTTTTAGTGAAGAGGAACCTGGCGTTGTCCTCAATCTTTGTCTTCGCCGCCGCCAACCGCTCGTACTCCGGGCGGAGCTGTTCGGAGCCCGATATCTGCTCGAAGAAGGCGGTCAGATCCTTGCCCTGCCGCTGCGCCGTGGCGTCCACGTCGCCCTGGAAGACCAGGAAATTGCGCACCTTGGAGAGGATGTTGATGCCCTCGAGGCGCTTGAGGTACTCCGCCTGCGTCACTGCCTTTGGAGGGAGTGGCGCTGCGCAAAAAAAAACACGGGGGGGGCGTTCCAAGGAGACAGGGGGCCTCTCAGAATTTGGCTGCTGGCTGAGAGGGCTCCTCAGACTCAGAGGGCAGGAGGGCGGCTGAGGAGTCCGCTGCCTTCCCATAAGAAGGCGGCCTGCCCCGCCCACCCCCCCTGGGCGCGCCGCGAAGGGATGGAAAACACATGCGCGCGGGCACAGATTCTCGACATCGGCGATGTTCGCAGGGGCGAAGGCGGGGAACACGAGGGTTGTGGGCCCCTCCGGGGCTCATATCTGGCCGATCCTGGCGCGCTGCTCCGCAACACCGACCGCACCGTCAACGTCCCCAGTGTGGCACCAGTCGGTCGAAAACTTTCGGCCAGCGCACGCGCGGGCATGCGCCGCGGATGCCCGCGCATCCGCCAGCTCTCCTGGAACGCCGGAGCCTCTGGAAGGCACCCCGAGGCTGGAAGGCCGCAGGGAGCCGACGAGAACGTCCGAGAGCTGGACCTGGATCGCGCCATTTCTAAAGCGTGGTTCTGGGAGAAGGAGGAGGAAAGCAGAGGGGAATGAGGCGCGAAGGAACAGAGCTGAATGTACCCCGTCCGCGTGACCGTTTGGCGCTGTGCCCTTGCATCTCGGCCCCCCCCCCCTGGATCGAATCCCCCCCCCCCACACACACAACGTGCTCTTTCGAACATCAAGCAACTAATCAGTCACCGTGCCCCCCTTGGGCGTTGAAGCATGGTAAGATCCAGAGGGCTGTCTGGTGAGCGCATGGAGCGCGTCATGTGCGGCGCCGCAGGCGTCGACCAGGGCTGGGGAGAGGGGGTGGGGCGGCGCCCTTGGCGGAAGCGTGCCGTCCCCACGGGCGGCCGAGGGCGCCTCCTCTTGGAGCGCGGCTCCCCGACAAGCAGCTTTCAGAGCTGCCGAGGGGGGCGCGGCCCCCCAGGCACCAAGTGTTCCGGGCTGCGTCTGGCCTCGGCGCCGCAACCTTCTCAGAGCGTTCCGGGACGCTCTGAGAGCGTTCCGTAACGCTCTGGAGCGGATCTATCCTGGTCCTAGCCCCGTGCGAAGGAGGCTCGTTGGTGCTCAGAGCCTCGGCCCTCCAATAATTACCGGACCCCTGAGGCCTGGCCACAAACGAAGAAACGCGCCTCGCCAGACTTTGTGATGGCCCGGCTGAAAACGAGGGTCTCTCCCTCGCCGCCCGCCGCGTCGTCCACGTAGGCGAGGTCCACCGAGGCGGTGCGCTGGTTCTTCTTAGGATCCTGACGACGACGACGCCGTCGACGATGCCATCGACGACGACGACGACGACGACGACGACGACGACGAAGACGGCGGCGGCGGCGGCGACGGCGGCGATGGCTGCGGCGGGCGGCGGTGGGGTCCTCACCTTCCCTGCGGTAGATGAGGTCGCGGAGCTTCTCGGAACGGAGCACGCGGGCCTGCACCCCGAGGACGAAGCTTATGGCGTCCATAAGGTTCGACTTCCCTGGCTAGGGCGCGGGCGGGAGAGAGGAGGGCAATGGGGAGTGATAGTGATAGGCTGGAGATCCATTTTTCAGGGCGGGCCACACCCCCGGCTGTCACGGAAATGCAGTTGCTAGATGCTGGCCCAAGGCAGCTGCCACAAGGGAGGGCCCGAGACCCCTTCACTGGGCGCCGCAAGGACAAGAAAACGGCGCGGGAAGACAAAGAAGGAGAGGCACACGAGGCGCACAGCATCGGGACTGCCTCTGCTTCAGCGCGCGCAAAGGTGCCACGCGGGGCCCCTGCCGCCTCGCCGCCTCGAATTCCGAGCGAGTTGCAGCAGGACTTTGCGCGGTTGTCCGCGGGCCCTGTCTCCCGCGCCGATGTCGAAGCCAGAGCCTGGAAAGCAGGGTGAAAGCACTAGAGGCAGGACAGGGGGGCGACGCAAGCTAGGCGCACTCGCGCCACGGCGCGCCGCCCCAAAAAAGTGGCGCCACCGCGCGCTGCGCAATCGCAATTGGGGCGCTGTTGATTAGAGGAGGAGGAGGGGGAGGAGGAGGGGGAGGAGGAGGAGGAGGAGGAGGAGGAGGAGGAGGAGGAGGAGGAGGAGGAGGAGGAGGAGGACGAAGGGGAGGTGGTGGCGGATGAGCAGGAGGAGGAAGACAACTATGCGGAAGGGGCGAGCGGCCTCGGAAGGTGCCCAGGTCGGGCGGGGGCGGCGGGGCGGCGGCATCGGCGGCGGCGGCGGGCCGCAAGGCCACGGTCGGGCCTCCACGCCGCGCCGCCCAGCGGAGGCGAGCTCGCGCGACTGCGTGGAGCTCGGCAACGGATCTCGGTCGCTCACGGCACGCGCAAATCAGGGTATAGGCTAGATCATGAAGGAGACCGACGGAGAGCAGGGCAGGGGCAGGGAGGGGACCAAGGGGGAAAACGAGGATCCGATGCACCGCCGAGGCATCCTGAAAACCCTCGGGGAGCGACGGGAGCATTCGGAAAATATCATCCAGGACGGGGCAGCTATACTAATGCTATATGTCATCTCCCCCCACGGCATATTTACACCACCTGCAACGTAGAGTGGCCTCCCGAAACCTGCGAGAGGTGCACCAGCTATTACGCAGGGCACAGACCGACGCAATGACAACGCGCTGGGGAGCGATCTGAGCTAGGCGCCCCAGGTACATCATACAATCATCAACTTCGGGGGCCGTGGGGGGGAGACGGGTGAAACATTGGATGCGCTTGCTAATCGTGCACCGCGGGGCGAGGGGGCGGTCAGAGCTCAGTAGGCGACCAACTTGTCTTTGCAGCGGGGGCGTCAGAGGCGGCAGCCGAGGGGGAGCAGTGACCGTGTCGTAGTTTTCGATCAGGGCCATGATGGAGCATGTCTTGATGAGGGGGTGTCTTTTCCAAAGGATAACACATTCATCGGATTCGGCGAATTCTTCGAGCTCGCGTCGGATGGCGAAGAACGAGGACGAATAATGAGCGATACGAAACATCGCATCACGGCGCATACATTCGAGATCACGTATCTGAACTCTGGCCCCCACGGAGGTGAGGTCTTGTAACAGCACAGTCGGGATGGCGTTTCTCGGCGCGTTGGTGAGAGCCTGTCCGGCCTCGCGCAGACGGTCCAGAGCGAATATGGCGGGCAGGAAGACTTCCCCGATGAACGTGAGGCAGGAGAACCCATGCACATTTAACCTGGCTATGCTCTTGATGAGTCCCAGAAACAAGCTCTTGATACTTTTGGCCCTCCCCTCCATCTTCCGCACAGGTCCTTCCCAGCTCAACGACTTAGCTTCCCACCCAAGAACCACCCCAAGATATCGGGCAGCAGTAGCGATATCCCTGCGGATGCCAATCTCGCGGAGCTCATTCTTAAACTCAGCGATCGAGGGCCGGCTGTAAGCCACAATAACCGTCTTCTTGATACGCAAAATAAGTCCTGCCGCACCTGCAGCAACAATCCAAACCTCGAGAGCCAGCGAGAGGGCCTGATAAATGTCCCTGGAGACGATCCCGACGTCGTCGGCGAAGGCCCGCACGAGGCCGAGGTGGGCGGTGATCTTGCAGCGCATGAGCCTGGGGATCGGGTCCATGGCCAACGCAAAAATTGATCCAGAAAGCGGGTACCCTTGTTTGATTCCCCGCTCCTGCCAGTAAAAGTGCCCACGGAGCCCACAGAAGAAAATATCAATGCGCACGTGCAAGTACAGGGCCGTCACGGCCGCGCGGATGTGGGAGGGGACATTCATGACGAGGAGGATCCAGGAGATCATGCTGTGGGGGAGGCTGGGGAAGGCGGCCTTCACGTCGAAGGCGGCAAAACCGTGTCGCGATGCAAATGCTGGCAGTACCAGTGGAGCGCTTTTGCCTCGATGTCTAGGATATTGTTAGTCATGCTCCTGCCTTTAATGGAACCCTTCTGGACATCGAGGCAAGTTTGCTCACGCATCAGGCCCATCGGAACGTTGATCGCCGTGGAGACGATCTTATTGCAGGCGCTGCTGAGGGTGATGGGCCTAGTGCTTTCAGCCGCTCGAAAGATGCCAGTGCCCAGAGCGTCCGAAGCTTGTTCGCCTGTTGCCAGAAACACAACCATTCCGCGGTTGAAATCGTCCCCAGGAAGTTCGCCTCTCAGAACCAGAGAATATAAATTGGTGACCTATGGGCCTCCGCGGGCCCAGCACGAGTACGGGATCCCATCGGGCCCAGGGGCGCCGTCGTAAATGTTAGAGACGATGTGGTGGATCTCGGGGAGCTCTAGAGTCCAATGGATGCCTGGCGGGCACTGCTGAACATACGGCCTCAGAAGCTCGCGAACATGACTGGCTCCAGACAACCCTCTGTGAACTTGCCCCCAGCGCTGTGCAAGAGCGAGCCCAACTTCATGGGGGGTCATGCAAATGCTGCCCCCTAGGATCCACGACGCCAGCCAGAGAAACTCTTTTCTGAAACTTGCCCCAGGCGGATGTGTAGGATTCCAGCCGAGCTTTCTGGGTGGCCTTCTGCTGGGGGCCCATGGAGGTCGCCTCGAGTTCGGCCTGGCGCTCCTGGATCCTCTGGAGGGAGAGACCTCGCAGACGCTCGTGAAATTGACGCTCGTCTGCCCCAGCGGCGCCAACGATATGCACGCATTGGCCAAGCTGCGGGTAGCATCGGACAGCGCGAGCAACCAACTCAGCGTGTCCCTGAGCAACAGCACGCATTAAACTGAGCGACCATGTGATCCGCTCGTCGGTACTCTGAGCTGGCCGAAGCGCAAGTCTGTCTCGGACTTGCTTGGCGGCTCCTCGAGACGAATCTCGGGCTTCCTGCAAGGCAACTTGGAGGTCCTGATGAAACGAGCCATGGTCCCCCAAGAGCTTCTCCATCTCCTCCTTAAACCAGGGTACCTCGAGACCCAAGACGGGATTTTGCCATTCCCAGGAGACCCAGGAGGAGTAAGCGCAAGGCAGACGGGGACGTGGTCACTCGGATTGCCTTTCTTGTTTGGGACGCCCAAGACGAGGCTGTTAAGGTAGAGGTCCAGGGCCTGGGCAGGGTAGAGGTTGGTGTAAATCCTATCGAGTCGACCTGGACTGACTCCCTGCTGAGGAACGTGCGCAGCATGCGTAAACCCGGGCTGATCTACCTCAAGCAGATCAGGAAACTTGTGGGCAAACTCGCTGGCGTGGGCGTTCTTCGGCACCACTGTGCGTCCGTCACTGCGAGGCCAACTCTCGCCCAGGCTGGGGAAGTTCCAATCGCCCATTCTGACAGATAACCCTCGACCTTGCGGAAGGATAACATTGCGAAGGCACGGCAAAACCTCGGATTGTTGACGACGACGGAGCTTGGGGTTGAGATGCATGTCGATGACTTGCAGAGCCCCCGGAGGCCCTGAGAGAAGAAGACTGTGGAGGCGCCCCTGAATGTGCACATGATGAGAGTGAGTGGAGAACATCTGGGACAGAGAAGGGTGACTAGCAATCATGCAGCCGCCAGCTCCCTCACGCTGATGGACGGTGCCGAAAAAGTGCGAACCTTGAATATCATGCTGAAACAGTCTCATGCCCTCGCGATTACCATGGGTCTCCTGGAGTCCGATAACTGAATGTCCCTGAACAAATTTAATGCAAAACTGGTGTTTCGCTCTAGTAACCTCGATCGGTGTACTGGTGGAACCGAAAAGCCCTCCGGAGTTCCAAGAGACTGCTGAAAACTGCTGTCGTATCTGAAACGGAACTGAACTAGCCGCGCAGCTGCTGGACGACCCAGGCGAACACAAAGAGAAAGAGGAAGAGGAGGTGCCATCATCTGCACTATCAGAACTAGATCAGCCCCGCGCTTGCACGGCCGACCCCGCCGGTGCACAAGGCGACAGAGACCCCGAATAAGAAAGAGTAGCTCTGCGAATCCTTCTCGCAGGTGCACTCGGAGGCGTGCAAAGCGTGGATGTGGCAGGCAGAGTAGCGCCGACTCGGGCCTTCAGGCCTGCAGTCGATCCAGGAGGGGAAGTAGTGGAGCCCGCACCGCAGGTCGCAGCGCAGGATGAGGTAGAAACGCCAAAAGGACTTGGCGCGATGCTCTGGACGTCTGAGTCAGTGTCGTCAGCAGGGAGCTGCACGCGCGGCGTGTGAATTTCCTTGCCCATGGCAATGCGGATCCAGGAGCTGGCCATCTCCTGCGTGATATCGACGGTCTTGAGGCTGTCCATTTCGTGGTGGATGTCCATCTGCTCGTTGGAGCTCTCGGCCAGCGCGAAGAGTACCCCTACGTCTTCTCCCCGATCCATGAACAGCACACCTTTCGTCGGGTTGCTGCCGATCTTCATGCAGCTGAGGTCTGGTAGGTTGGCGCGCTTCAGGTGATCCACGAACTGCTGCCAGAGCTGGCCGAGAAAGCAATCCTTCTTGCGGACGTCGAGCGATGCATCCATCCGTGCTCGAAGAGGGCGTCGCCGTTGCCAACGGTCAGTCCAGGACAGACCTTCAGCGCGGACCTTATCTAGAAAGGCTCGAGCGTGCAGGTTGGATCCGAACTTGATCGAGTAGCTGTGGTTCAGGTTATATGCTTTGACCTCGGCGTGCATGGCCATGTCCTGGGGCTTCGCCTCGATGGCAGCTTTCGCGTGGGTGCGCATGACCGTGGCGAGCATATTGTTCGGAAAGCCGCCAATCCAAAAAGTGCACGGGTCCGACTCGTAGGCGTCCCTCGCGAGGATGCTGGCGGCGGCAGAGGTGGCGGAGCCCGCCGAGGATGGCGGCCGAGAGGGCGTCCCGCTGGAACGTGAAGTCGACAGAGAGGATGACAGGGCCTTCAGCTCCTGGTCGAGCTTCTCCTCGAGCCTCGCCTCCAGCTGCTGGAGGATTGCGGAGCCCTGGGCATATTCGATCGCCTTGCGCGTCTCCTTCGCCTGCTGGTCCATCCTTTCGTTCAGCTCGCTGATGGCCTGGTCGTGCTTCTGCAGGGCGGTGTCTATCTCAGTCTTAGTAGCGATGGCTTCCTTTTCCCGGTCGGCTTCCATGGATTTCGTGAAATTCAACAGGTCGGCGAGAGACGGCTGAGGTGGCTCTTCTTTCATGGGTTCCTCAGTGGCGGCAGTAGCGGACGGGCAAGCCATGGCCCCAGGATCAGCACCGTCACCTTGGCCACGCTCATCGGCATTCTCCTCTTTGCAATCTTCGTCGGGGGAGTCTTTGACCTCGTCGCGCGCGAGGTCGAAGTGTGCAGGCACTGCGGGTTTTCGCTCATGCGACGGTGCGGTCGACCCTTCCTCAACCTCCATCGGGCCGAGGGCGGAGGTGAGCTTCTTGTGCCACGCGGGGTCGGCGCACTCGCCCATGGGCTCGTCTTTGTCTGAGTCGGTGTCGTGGACGACATGGGTCTTCGCAGCACGACCATCAGGATGCGTAGCGGCAGCTACCTCGGGCCCTCGCTTGCGACCGTTCTCCTTCCATGGGTCGTCGGGCTGGAGCGGGTCGAACGCGTTGGAACACTTGCCTTTGTCACAGTGGCCGCCCTTGCCCCTCACAAGCTTGCCACCCTTGCCGAAGTACATCTGCGTGGGAACATAATTATCTTGCTTGGCTCCGAATGGTGATGGCTGTGCACGCTCCCCGCTCGTAGCCGTCCCTGGGCAGGCTGCCTGGGGGGCGGCGTCGTCGGCGCTGACCATCGCGGGATCCACTGGAGTGACGCGCGTGGCGTCGAACAAAAAGGGGAGAAGAAGTGTCCGCCAGTGCACGACACACTGGATCGCTCGAAAGAGAGCTGCCCGCTCACATGGGACCTGATCCCACTTGAACCAAAATGGCAACGGAAAAAAACAGGAGAAGGAACAACAGCAGGGACAAGAGTAGGGAGAGCAGGGCACCCACGACTCGCATATTTTTCCAAAGAAAAACAGGAACGGCAGATCGAGAAATCCGCTGCCCCTCAGGAGGACTATCCCAATCGCGCGATGCATGGTCAAGCAAACACAACGAGGCACGTGCATTGCAAGTTGCAGCAACAAATTGCATTGCGGTTGGAAAAACGCAATGGCAATCCAAGCGGTCGCAACTGGGACCAGACAGGCCGGCCAACACACTGACACCAAGACTCCATAGGGGAGGAAGACGACAGACGAGGAGGAGGAGGAGGAGAAATATTAAAAAAAGAGCGGCAAACAGCTCGCGCGTGCGTAGGCCAGCCCGTGTGGATGGCGCCAGCACAAAAGACCTCGCGCGCACAAACGAGACAGAAAACATAGCAAACCTGCAAACACTGAATTCGCTGACCCGGCAGCGACGGCGAAACGCCGTGACGAATTCTAAAACCCGACAACAGATGGGGGCATCAGGCATACGCGTTCGTGCGAAGCACGTAACTTTGCGAGAGCTTTCGAACGAATGAGGAGCATCAGGCCGAAAAGAGCCAGGCCTATGGCACCCACTGCGCGCCACTGGGGCGGCTCCCATGAACAGGGGGTGGTCCACAAGAGCGGGCACAAGAGTGACAAAAACTGCCCCGCTCCGGCAAGCGGCATGGAGCATGCGCACCCCCTGCATTCAAACACGGGCGGCGGAGGAGAGGAGAGGATGGAGCTTCCAGCATCTTCTGCGTGACCGTTTGTCCAGATCTGGAGCTCCAGCACGCGGGGGGGGGGGGGAGCGAGGACGAGACAAGCAAAGGAGGCGGAGAACAGGCCAACCCCAGCAGGGCTAGCTGGCGCTCCGCCTCCAGGATGCGAGAGCGGGATGAGAGAGACGAGGGGGAAAGGGAAAGGGCACCTCTGAACAAGTGGTGGGTGAAGCACGTCACGCAGACCATCGGCCACGTGGCCTGGAATAAAAAGGGGGAATGCCCTGAAATCACCGCGCTGCCATTGTCACAGTGTCGGTGCGCGGCCTCCGCCAGAATCTCCACAAAGTGTCCTGGGCGGGCGGGCCATCTGGTCGGCCTGCACGAAAGACGTCTGCCAGTCAAGGAGGGAAACGGGAAGGGGTAAGAAGGCGGTGAGAACGGGGGGGAGGAACGGAGGAACATGGAGGAACGCACTCGACAAGCGTCGCTGGTGCGGTGGTGCCGTTCCTGCCGTTCAGGCGTCCGAGACTCGCTGGCACAGCGATTCGCACAGGGAGGGGTGGAGGGGGGGGGGGAGGAGGGGACCGACCAGGAGGAGGGGACCGACAGCCACCGCCCCGAGGGGCGCCAGGGGCCAGGGGGCCCCTGACGTCAAAGATTGCATGCAGAGATGCGCACGGAGAGGCTGCGAGCGCACTCCTGCGCCGTCTGGGCGCCGGCGGCTGGATGCGGGGCGGGCGGGGAGGAATGAGGAAAACGTGCAGCCCTCCTGGTTGCCCTGGTGGCCGGTCGGACCGTCCACTGTCGCGTGCCCTCTGCGCATGCGCAGGGTCGCGACCGTCGTGTGCCCCGTGCGGCTCCCCTGGAGAGCCACGCGGAGGGCTCCATCCACGGCGCACAGCAGCGCGCGCCGTGGGCCCTGTGCGGGGCGTGAGAGGCCCAAGCGCGCTGCCGCACCTCCCCTTCCGGCCCTGCGAGTCTGGAGAGGAGGTGCAGAGCATCAGCAAGCGTCGTCCCGGCGGTGCTGGCGAACGCGGGGAAAAGGCGGCGCGCAGCTGGACAGCGCGCGAAGTGGGCCACGCAGTCCTCGTGCCCGCCGCGCCAAAGGAGACAGGCCCCGCGACCTTGAAATCGGCAGCTCGTGCTACACCCGACGCGCAGCAGACGCAGGTGAGCGGTTTGGACACGCGGTGTGCAGTATCGAGCAAGTAGCTGCATGCGGGCCACAACGCGAGCAAAGCGGCGTCTGGGCACCGCCACGGCAAGGCAGCGATCCAGCCGCCTGCGCAGATGCCAGAAAGCGCCCTCCCCAGCCAGCGCCTGAGCAAAATCGACTTCCCGGCGCTGCCAGCCCGACTGCTCCGTCAACCAATGTTCGCCGTGCGGTGCCCGACGTTGAAGAAGAACTCCGACCGGATCGACCGCATCGTCGAGTAGCAAGAGTAAAGGCCGCGGCCGCCACGCCTCCACATAAAGGCTCCCAAGACGGCTCCCAAAGGGCCCTAAGAAGGTCCAAGAGGCCTCCCAGACGCCCAAGATGGGCTCCAAGACGACCACGAAGCACCCCAAGAGGGCCCAGAGAGGTTCCCAAGACGGCTTCCGACGGCGTCAGACGGGCCAGGAACGCCGTAAGACAGCCAAAGGAGCCCCCAAGAGGTCCCCAAAGGCCCCCGAAGGCCCCCCAAAGGCCCCCCAAAGGCCCAAAGGAGGCCCCCAAGAGGCCTCTAAGAGGCCCCCAAGAAGCTCCACGGAGGCCCCAAGAATGACCCAAGAAGCTCCCAAGAGGTCTCCTCATCCTTCTCCTCACTCCTTTTCCCTCACTCTCCTCATCCTCCACTTCCTCCCCCACGTGTTCCCCAAATGGCTCCCACAACGGCTGGGGGAACGCATGGTCCAATAGCGTGGCCAACCTTGGCCCAAACGTTTAGCCACATAGGCGTATGCTGAATAGCAGGGGTCGGCGACGATTCGCCGTAAGCGTCTTCGATAAATATCAAATATGAAACTTCCTGCCCAATTGCTTATCCGATTCTCCCTGCTGTAAACCCAGACATCGCGCGCCACGCGTCGCACGGTCGACGGTCGCGGGCATGCGCTTGTCAGTGCAACCCTTTCCCCTAAGTGCACGTTTGAGCCGTACTTCCTCGCCTGTCTCCAAGTTCACGATCATTATGGCCACGTCCCGTATGTTTGGCCACAGCAGAGGGACCTCATCAGCAAAGCGAGAACTCGTCAATGGTAGGTCCGAGGAGTCTATGAAGACGCCGTGATGCGGTCCCGTGCGGCGTTTGTCCAGGCTCTCCCATCTCATCCTCAACATCCTGAAAGTAACTTCCACTACGACTGCATATTAGGAGCTGACCGGGTCGTCCTGCTTGACACTCCTATGCAATTTCGACCTGCCTACTTATTGTTCTGGTCATCGCTGTGGCTCCCTGCTTCGCGTGTAATCTCTTCATGAGGCTGATGCCGGAATGCGGGGCACTCTGCTCGTGCAATGCCGCCCATAGCGTGTCGTGCTCAACCTTACTGAACGGCTTGGCCAAATCCGCCATGCCGACCCAAAAACTCCGTGTTGTAGACTCTGCTCCCCTCGAAAAGGATTATTTTCCGGATTTCGAATCCTGTTGGCCGAGTCGCGGCGAGGGAAGTCCCTGCTCCCCTCGAAAAGGAAGGATGAAAGGGTGGGGAAGAACGGGGAGGAAAAAGAGGGGGAGCAGGAGAAAGCAGGGGGAAAAGGACTGGGAGAGGGATGAGCAAGGGGATACGACTGTGCGTGGGAGGAAGGAGGAGGAGAAGAAGGAAGAGAAGGAAGAGAAAATGGAGGAAGAAGAGGATAGGGGAGGAGGAAGTACGGAATACGATTAGGAGGACAATGAAGAGGGGGACGAGACGGATGAGAAGCGAATGTAGCAGATGAGAAAAAAGGCGAAGGGGAGGCGGAGGAGTAAAGTATGGCGTCCTGCACCGTTGGGCCCGATGACGCAGGTGAACTTCCTGAAGGGCCCGATCAGCTGGCGGCCCTCGTACGACTTGAAGTTCTCGACGACGATCTGAGAGATCATGAAAGGAGATGCTAAGGGGTGGCGTTGAATATGAGGAGAAATGGAAAACAGGCGGAGGGAGAGGAGGAGAAACATGAGGGGGAAAGGAGGAGGATAACGATGAGGTTGAAGCAAGAGGAGAAGAACAACCTGGAGGAGGTGGCGGATAAGAAGGAACACAAGGGAGGGGGAGGAGAAGAGCAGGAGGGAGAGGGAAACGGGGGCGGAGGGATAGAAGGAGAGGAGCGGTATACAGAAGGGAAAAACAGGAGGGGGAGGAGGGGGAGGGCATGGCCAGGAGGAGGAGGAGGGCGAGGAGGAGGAGGAGGGGGAGGAGGAAGAGGAGGATGAGAAGGAGCAGGAGGAGCAGGGGGAGAGGAAGGATAGACCCTCTTTCCCCCCCATCCCCCCCCCCCATCCCCCTCTCGCACCTCCCTCACCATCCGCCCCCCCCTTCTCCTCCCCTCCCCGCCTCCCCCTCCCCCTCTCCTTCCCCCTCCACCTTTGCCCCTCCTTCACCTCCTCCTCTCCCTGATCTTCTTCTTCTCCTCCTCCCTCTCCTCCTCTTCCTCCTCCTCCGTTTTGGCTCGAGCCGTCTCAGCCTTGGCACCTCCGGCCATTTGGCTCGGAACCGGCGCCGCGCGGGCCCCCGCATGGTGGATGGGTCGGCTTGTGGAAAGGTAGATCTACGGGCGCGGCATGGTTTAGAGCAGGCGCAAACGATGATACATCTCGTTAGAAGAAATAGGAAGGCACCAACTATACACCAACACCGACTATATCACCACACCGATCCTGGGCCCAGGGTGATCCTGGGCCAGGATCGGTGTTGGTGTATAGTTGGTGCCCTCCGAAGAAATATCAGGCACATCCTTCGTCTACCCTGAACTGACAGTGCGCCTCAGGGCTCTGCGTGCCAAACAGGATACAAGAGCCTATCGTGGGGCGCCCGTTGGCAGGCCAACTTCTTATCGGAAGCGGCATGGAGCGTTGGGAAAACAGGGCATGGGCGGCACGGCAATTCGTGGCGTCGCAGGCCTGGAAATTGACACCAACACCAGCGCGGGGGCACACCCCCACCAAAAAAATGCAAGACCGGTAGCAACGGATTCAATCATTGAGCACTGGTTTCAATAACTGAACACTGGTTTCAGTAACTACGAACACGGGATTCAATAACCACGAACACTGGTTTCAATAACCACGCACACGGGCTTCAATAAACATGAATACTGGTTTCAGCATCTTCGGACGCTGGTTTCAATAACCGCGAACGTTGGTTTCAATAACTGCGAACATTGTTGTCAATAGCTACGGTCATGGGTTTCAATAGCTACGAGCATTGGTAAAAAAAAACTACGGACACATATCCGATGTGCCAATTCGTTGTTATTGGCATTTGTTATTGTTTTTGGGGGTCTTCTGGAGGCCCTTTCCAGGCCCCGGGACCGTGTAAAAACATCTCGCGCGGACCCAAGGAAAAAGTGTCGTTTTGTTGCACTTGCCTGCTGTGTTTGGCAGCATGTTGTTTGCAATGGACAAATACGTATTCCTCGGGGAAACCGTCTTCCCCGACCACGCTGTGGAGTTCCATGATACGCACTGGTTTGCCATCCAGAATTGCACGAATACATGTTTCAACTTTGACTCTTGCAAGATCGCGGCCTTCCCCGACTTGACGCATTTTGTTTGTTGTGAGATTTGGGCGTGTTGCCTGTCCTTGGGCCGTAGATCCCTCTCCTGGTTCGTTGCGCTCTCTTTTCGCTGCGGGTTTTCCTTTCACTGCTGCCACCCCCAGGCGCTCTGGTTCTAGCCACGCGCCAAGACCAGCGCTTGTCCCAAAAGCGCCCCCACTCGATGATGCACGCGCGCCTTGGACGGTAGGCCTGTGGCGCGGACCTTCGATGGCCTCGTCGAGGTCGACGTCTTCCCGCGGGGGCAGCCCTTCAGATAACGACCGAGACCACAAATGGAGGGCGGTATCTCTGTCATAAACCACTCGGATGTCCAAGGGGACCTGGGGCGAAAAATAACCGCGGCTCTGACATCGAGCTTTCCGGAAAAAGTGTTCAACGTTTTCGACATCATCGGCCTTGGCTGGGTTTCAGGATCGTCGCGCTTAAACTAGTTTCAGGATCGCCGCGTCAAAAAATATATGTCTGGAAATTGTCGGGTCGGTTGTCAAGAGAACGGAGCGTGTAAAGGAGCGACGGATGTCTGAAAAATGAAGGGCCTGATGGGGGAAGAAAGAGCATGAGGAATCGGAAAAAAGGAAAAAAGAGCAGGAAGATACAGAAAGGACGCACTTGAACCGCGCGCATTGCTCTCTCATAAATCCTGCAAAATATCACATTATTTGGTTGCAAAGCGATGTCTCGTCATATGGCAAATATGGATCAATCGCCCGGTATCGTGACTCATATTTGGGCCATGCTTGAAAACGCGCGCGGTTACTTGTCGCGCTTAGCATTGTACTCTGATTCCGTGATCCAAACGTTCTCAATCGGATGTGTTTGTTTCTGTGTTGCATTATCGATACCACTCGTCGAAGTTTCTTCTGACCCTGCCTCCATAATTCCAGGGTTGGACTTGAGAACATTGCGTCTTGGTCCGCAACGGCGTTGCTTGGGGAGCAGCACTTGTATGAACCACGTGGATGCGCATACGAAAGCGGCTCATGGCGGTGACCATGCCCAGGGAAGTGGATACTCTGAAACATAGGTGGTTCGAAGTCAAATCTTGCGCTTTGCTGCAATACTTCTTAAGTTCCTGATGAGTTTGTTGCAATGGCATTTGTTTGGGGGGGTGCAGCAAAAAAGGGAAAACAACTGAGAGGCATAATCATTGCGACACTTCATCGATGTTTATTTGTCAGCGCGCTTGCGTTCCCTATCTTGTCCTTCATCGATTTTGTATTGTTCTCCTCTCGTGATTATATTATACTCGTCTCGCGATGCATCTGCCATGCCATTGCATGCCAAACAGACCATGCCCAAATTAATTACTGAACGGACTCTTGCCGCGACAGATGATGCAATGAAATCGCTGGAACAATTCGTCGTGGAGCGAAGGGCGGCAACATTGAAGGATAACGAATGTCAATATACATACATTACATACATACATACATACATACATACATACATACATACATACATACATACATACATATATATAGCAGAGCCAGACCCCAAGAAACAATAATGGTTCACGCCCATCGACATTCATCATATCACTGTTTCTTCTGAAACAACCCGCGCCGCGGATTGTGCGGCTCGGAGGTTTCGCGAACGTTAGTGACACATTGGTTTCTTTCCCGCGTGGCTTCGGGGGAATATGACTCACGACTCCGCAATATACATTGAGATTGTTTTCTAGATTGCCCGAGTGTCTGGTGCCATCAATCCGTGGCGGGCTGCACTAATTCGGAAGGAATTATGGATTTTCGCAGCGAAGAATGCAAGTCGCCCTCGTTTCCCGTGCGATTTCACAAACTGGGGCCCCAGGTTATGCAGAAGAAACAAATTCGTACAGTGCGAGCGAATGTGCGAAATTGGTCGCTGAATGAAACTGCTGCAGACCCCTCTGGCCTGCGAGCCGCAGCCCTCTGGCCAAACCGGACAAGAAATAATCCCACGATGGCCGCGCACGGCCGCCTTCGCGGGCGGGCGCGCACAAAGCGACGAAGCTGCAGTCCAGAAAGAAGGAAGACAAAGAAGAAGAGGAGGAGGAGGAGGAGGCGGAGGGGCGGGCGAAAGAGGAGGAGGGGGGGGAGAGAACGAGCCGAGGGAAAGACAGGAAGAAGGCAACCGCACAGCTCGAACACGCGCCGAAGCGGGGGCACAAAAAAACTCACGGAAAAAGACAATATACGGGAAAGTCAAGAGTCAATGCCAGGAGCCCACAGAAAAGGCAGGGGGCCGAAGCCCATCTGAACCTGAAGTCCGACAAAAGTTTCTCCAAGCATGGCTGTCTTTGGAAGCCTGCGTTCTTGAACTTCGGCAAAAAACTGTCTTCCCTGCTCGACCGCAACCTGCCTGCTATCTTCGGCGGACAACTGCCCCTCGGCAAGCTCGTTGCTGAAAATATTGAGGTCGCCCTTTGCATGGCGGTGAACAAGGTATCCATGCTGCCTCTTTAGCGCCCTGGTAATGCGGAACCACGTGTGTAGCTCCTTCATGCATGGATCTAAACGCGTATCCGGCTCTTTTCCATCCAGTGCGGGAGGTTAGTCATTCGGTATCTTTGGAGCCTCCGATTGTTCAGGCAAGGGTCCCCGTTGTCGATCAGAAGATCTCGCAGCGGTGTCACCCTGGTAGGTCGGCGCGAACGGTGCCGCGCTACCCGCAGAGGCGCGTTCACCCTGGCTGCTCCAACCGGCGAGCCACGACCCCGCGGGTTCCGACTCGATGAGGTTGCTTGCGCGCCGGGCTGTTCTTGCGCCCCCTGCAGGGCAACCCGACGGGCCCAGCAGGCGCCTGACCAGCCCCTCGCCCCCCCCCTCCCGCCCGAGGGTCCTGACCTTCTTCTTGCCAAGGATATTAAAAGACTTCGTCTTCTGGTGGCTGAGCGCCTGCTTGGCTTTCCACGGCGGCGCCCCGCCCGAAAGGGCGATGAGCGGGAGGAGCGGGAGAGAAGGGCACGCGACCCGAAAGTCGAATGACGAGGAGAGCCTGCCTGACTCACCATGGATCGGAGCCACGCGGGCTCCGCTACCACTGCGGAGTGCACTATGGTAGCTGCGCGGATTACGGAGAGACATGAAGTGCAAGTGGAAGGGGCCCGCGCTGGAAGAGAGAGAGCACGCTCCCTTTCCTTTTACGGGGGCTCGCGCGCGCCCGCAGCGAGCGCGTCGCGCAGCTCAAGGGCCGCGCGATCCGACGCGGCCGCGGGGCGGCGAGGTGAGAGAGAGGCGCAGGAGAAGGAATGGCTGACATATACATGACAACCACAGACTGGTCAGGTCTTCGGCGACTGTGTCAATATATGCTTGCATATTCTTCATGTGATCAGCGGCAGCGCGCCCCTAGAGGGTCGCCTGTTGCATTGCGGCGGGCGCCTCCTCGTTGACGTGCTGAACCGTCGCGGCTGCATGAGCC